GCGGATGTGCTTTCTGAAAACTAGGGAAAGGCCATAGCTCAATGTCACAGCACCTGCTTTGCATGCAGAAGGCTCCAGATTCGATTCCCACTGTTTCCAGGGTCTCAGCTATATTGGCAAAGAAAAAGCCCTTTATATGCGCTGTTTGTGCATTATAATACTGTGACACCAGGTGGCGCTGTGGAGTTCTGTTTTTGCCAACCCAATTTCTCATAGTACAAAGTTTATAACGTGTTTAACTGAAACACTTCTTTGATGTGTCTAAATCCAGCCCAGGTACAGCTGGGAAATACCTTGGTCTGAGGCCCCATCTGTACTATACATTTAAAGCAGTACCACACCACTTGGGGTATATGGGGTGTTAGGAAAACCTCTGGTGGGGGAGATGTCATGCTCCTTCTGGGGTAGTTTGTCCACCTTTGGTCCACACCTTGCACTCAGTCTTCACCTGTGGCTCCTAGAAGCTGTCAGCATGGGACAGGTGGCCACACACTGGGAAATGGCTTCGACAGGCAGGCTAAAGCAGGTGAGGGTATCCAATGGGTCTCAAACCCTCAGTGAGTTAGGGACTTCCCCTGCATGTGAAGGCAGACTCTGGTGGATTGAGTGGGGTGACCAACTGTGGGTCCAACAGTCAAAAAGGGGGTTTCTACATGTGCTCTAGATGGAAATTAGGGACAGATGGGGTTCATCAACGTGGGAAGTTTGCCCATCTAGGAGAAGAAAAGCTCTGATCCTAAACCTCTGTTGCCTTTGGGTTTTCTTTGGGAGGACAAAAGACTAAGGAGTAAACCCTATACAAATTTGGAGTGGCGTCCCCAACATGGCTGGATAGTGCCTTGTAGGCCTCCTTCCAGCAACTCCTGCAGCCAAGCTGATGGCAAACATATTGCTCTGATTTCCTTTGGACCACATCAGCAAGGCCAAGAGAGGGGTTTTGTCATCTGGGCAGTCCAACACCTCCATACATGCTACCCAGACTTGTGCTCTGAGGCAGTCAATTTGGTGCTGCTAATGCGGCAGTTTGTCTTCACCCCCGGAGGTGTAATCTGTTGTCTCCTGAGACAGAGAGATGTCCACAACACCACTTTAAATAATCTTCCCCAAAGAATTCTGGGAAGTGTGGTTTCTTAAGGGTGTCGAGAGTTGTTAGGAAATAGTGTTTCTAAATATATTTCTCTCAAAATACTTATTCCTATACACACTTTCCAAATTTCAGACCGTATTTTGATATTGGGGGGAGGGGGGTTGAATCCTGCACTGCAACTTTTGGAGAAGTTCAGGGGTGGGAAAATCTCTGACACAGGGCTCAGATGTGGCCCTCCAAGTCTTTCTATCTGGCCTTTGGGACTCTCCCCAGGCCACATCCTGAGTGTTTTTGCCTGTCTGGAATGTGCCATTGAACTCCCATAATGCCACTTGCTTGCCTGAATGGAACATTGAGAGGAATGGAGCAGTGTGTGTGGAAACTAGCCTTTACAAAAGGTAAAACTGACCTTTATTGCCCCACTCATTTTTTTATTTTGATCCCACCCACCACCGGCATGTGGGAGGTTTCCTCAGGCTCAAAAAAGGCCATTATGCTGAAAAAGACACCCCCCCCCAAAAAAAAACACCCATTCTGTGGGATTCAGATGAATCCAGGAGAGTAGTGTGGATCAGGTCAGTCCACTAAGGAAACTGGAAAAGATCAAGTTTCTCAGGCATCCCTACTTGATTAGCAGCTTGATTTGCAGGAATCAGCAGGAGGAATTTTCACAGCATGAAGGTAATCGCCACCACCTTCAGATCAAGGCAGCATTTAAAGTCACAGCTGCAGGGGATGCAAAGGAAAGTTGGCAACCTTAATCATTTGGTGTTTGGGCTATCTGGAAACCAAGAGGGAGCTGTTCACCTTGCTGTGTGAACAGAGCCACATTACCCTCTGCAAAATATATCATTAACTTTGAATTTACCTCTTTGTCCTGCGTTTTGACAGGGGCGTCATGAACAGGAACGATTCTTTCTCATAATATAACCAAAAAGGATTAGCCTGGGAACCTACCGGGGCTTCCACTTTAATCCCTCTCCCTCTCCCTCTATCTCACACAGTCTTTGAGGATAAAATCAACACAGGTTTTCTCACATGAAAATGGCATTTGATTTGACAGACATAAGGAACTGTGTTTGTCAAACCCTGGTCACACCTACGTGGAGTGTGCATGCATGGGAAACCCAGAGTCTTCCATCTTCTACGATGCTGTTAGAAGACCCTGTGCAAGGAAAACACTCACAACACGAATGGCTAGGTGAAAGTGAATAAAGATGAGGGGGGTTTGCAAACTGCTTTCGCTCCAGGGTTGGATTTAATGAGCTTGTCCCTAATGAGTTGTCCCTGTAACTAGCTTCGGGCCTAAACAGATGAAGCAGGGGTTCTGCTAAATTTTTGATGGGGTTTGCACTGGCTTCTCTAAGCGAGTGTGCATCCAGAGAGTGCAGGGTTGCGCCATTAATCTTTCACGAGAGCACGATTGTTGTCCGACTTGTCAGCGGGGATTTGTAAGACCTGATTTCTAATAGACGAGGTGGCTCGTCGCAGGCCGGCTTGACGAAGCAGGAGGAGGCAGGCAGAACGGAGGCCGGGGAGGGATTTGATTTGTTGGGGGCAGGAAGCAAAGTTCAAATGACTTTCCTAATGATTAAATATCAGCATTGCCGTTGTAGATAGCATCTACATCATAGAGGTTGATATACAGGAGGCAGTGATGGCCACCAAGCTAGATGGCTTTGAAAGAGGGTTATACAAAATCATTGGGGAGAGGGCTATAGAATAATAGAATTGTATAGCTGGAAGGTTCCTCAAGGGTCATTTAGTCCAACCTCCTGCAATGCAGGAATGGCCACTACCCAGAATGGCTATGATCTTCCTGGATGGTTGGAGGTGGTAAGATTTCGGAATAACAGTTGCTGGAAGCCACATGGTGGAAGAGTGTTCTTTTGCTCAGATCCTGCTTATGGGCTTCCCACAGGCATTTGGGTGGCAATTGTGATAGCAGGATGCTGAAGTAGATGGCCTGATCCAGGAGGGTCTTATGATCTTAGAGCAGGGGTAGCCAACATTGTGCGCTCCAAATGTTAAAAGACTACATTTCCCATCATTACTGCCATTTGCTGTGCTGGCTGGGGCTGATGGGAGTTGTAGTCCAAAACATCTAGAGAACTCCACATTGGCATCCCGTTTTGGATGGAAATCTGTTTTAGGAAACAGGTATCACAGCCTGTTTCCTTTTAAAAAAAATACAAAACACACACACACGGAAAAACACAAACACACAATACTCCCCTTTCCACACTGACTAAACTAACATTCTTTGGCGACATCTGCCTGACTGTGCAGCAGAGACCTTCTTGCGTAAGTTAACTTTCAGTTTCTCTTCTTCTTCCTCCAGCCTGCTGGGCACCCCAACAAAATCTGCTCCAAAGGACCCTCACAAATTAATGTGAAAATGAGACACAATGGATTTATCAGTGAACACAGGGGGAAGTGACCCAGTGGAAGCATCTGATTTACTTGCAGAAGGTCCCAGTTCCTGGCATCTCCAGATAGAATTTGGAATGAGCCCTGCCTAAAACTCTGGAGGGCTGCTGCCAGTCAGTGTAAACAGTACTGAGCTAGATGGACCAATTCTCAGAATAAATATGTTTTGTACATTTCTAGGAATAGCTTGATATGGCTATCTTAGTGTATGCTGATCTTAGTGTGCAGTAAGTAGGGATTTGAACCCGATTATAACAGCTATAGCACACTGACCACCCTCTGTGTAAATCTGAGTGGACCCTGCCTCAATTTAATCCTGTGCAAGAAGATTACAAACAAGATGTTGTTTTCTATTAATTAAATAGATTTCTTTCCAGCTTATATATTCTGCACGAGCCTTCGCAGTATGAAAACGCCTGTTCAGCAGTCTTGATTGCATTCCGCAAAGTGCCTCATTCTTTATACACACACACACTCACATCATTTAACAAATTTAATAAGCCTTCACTGCTTCAGTTACTTCTATAGGATTTTGCATCACTCCCTGACATCCGTGCAGCGGACTGGAAATCTGGCATTGAATGGATTGAGGCGAAATCAATGGCTGCTCTCCCTCTGCGGCTGAGTCCCTTTTGTTTCAACAGAACTGACATTTGCGCCAGCGCGTTTTGTATATTACTCATTGCTCACTGATAGACGTGTATCGGCAACAAACAAGAGGGATAGGGGGGAGCCGAAAAGTGCAAATAAATGTAACAAGCTTTCTTTGTCGGCGAGAGAAAGAGAAATAATCCCATTTTATAGACCAATGAAGTTCCCGGTTGCTTTTTCTTTTTCTTCTTTATAGTGGTCGCAAAGGTGCAGTTTTAATCCTGATCTCACAAGCTATTTCCATCAAAAGCATTAAATGAAACGAGCATCAAAGCAGAGGAAACAGGTGGACCTGTTTAAACTGCTGCCTCCTATAAAGCAACATTAAAGAAAGTGTGTTACAAAGAAGAGGCACTAACTGCCTGATCAGCCCTACAAGTTTAACATTAATTAACAGTCTCATTAAGAAAGTAGGTTGGTGTGTCTTTAAAAAGAAAAAGCACTGGCAGGATTGATGGTGTCCAATAAAGGAAGGGGGATGCGGGTGGCGCTGTGGGTTAAACCACAGAGCCTAGGGCTTGCCGATCAGAAGGTCAGCAGTTCGAATTCCAGCGACAGGGTGAGCTCCCGTTGCTCGGTCCCTGCTCCTGCCAACCTAGCAGTTCGAAAGCACATCAAAGTGCAAGTAGATAAATAGGTACTGCTCCGGCGGGAAGATAAACGGCGTTTCCGTGCATTGCTCTGGTTCACCAGAAGCGGCTTAGTCATGCTGGACACATGACCCGGAAGCTGTATGTCGGCTCCCTTGGCCAATAAAGCGAGATGAGCGCCGCAACCCCAGAGTCGGCCACGACTGGACCTAATGTTCAGGGGTCCCTTTACCTTTAATAAAGGAAGGACTGTAGCTCGGTGGCAGAGAATCTGTTTTGTGTACAGAAGGTCCCAGGTTCAGTCCCCAGCATCTCCAAGTAGGAATGGGAAAGACTCCCTGCCCGAAACCTTGGAAAGGCTCTGCCAGCCAGTGTAGACAGTACTGAGCTAGATAACCCAGTGATCTGACTCAGCATCCAATAAATGTCATAGTTCAGTGGCAAGGTGTCTACTTTGCATGCAGAAGGTTCCAAGTTTTTCCAGGTAGGGCTGAAAAGACCCTAGTCAGAAAACCAAACCAAACCCAGAGAGCTTCTGTCAGTCAGTGTAGGCAATACTGAGATAGAGGGTAAAGCAGCTTCCTGTATTTCTCCTTGGTGTATTCCAGGCAAAGTGACTGCATAAGTGATGGGATTAAGAAGTTTGGCTCAGTTTGCATTTAAAGGAGAATTTACTAATTTGGGCTTCCTGAAACAATAGGCAAACCAAAGGATTCCCTCCAAGGATTTTTTTGAAGGATTTCCTTTAAAATCCACACTTTTCTGAATATTATAGAGCAGTTCTGCAGACTATACTAGGGTAAAATGTATGTATAAATACTTAAATTGGGGGGGGGGACATACAAAATGCATTTTAATACAGGAAATTGTTTTTTTGGGGAAAACTTGTGCAGTAAGCATAACTGGACACATGTATGTTAGCAGAAATTGCACCACAATGCAGATGAATTTTAATGTGTGTGTGTGTGTGTGTGTGTGAGAGAGAGAGAGAGAGAGAGAGAGAGAGAGAGAATGTATAATTCCAAACTGATGTGAAGAAGTGAAAATTGGAATAATGAAAAACTGGGAGAAACCAGAATTGTCATATCTGGCTGTCCCTAATAATGTCATGTATTGAGCTAAATGCTTACTTAGCCAGTATCCAGTTTGCTTTCAGTTTAATTAGTGTGTCTGCAAATTTGTAGGACACCTGACTGCATTTTAAGATCTCAAATGCATTTTGGGTTGGATAAATGTATCATATAGTAGGTAGGCAGGCGTGGAAGGAGCTCCCATTCTTGCCAAACACAAAACCTTCTCTGTAAAAGGCACTGCTGAATTTTATGAAAAAGAGCTACAAAGCTCAGAGCTAGAGCACTTGCCCTGCATGTAGAAGGTCCCAGATTCAATCCCCAGCACCTCCAGTTAGGGCTAGGTGAGGCCCCTACCTGAAACCTTGGAGAGCTGCTGCCAGGTCAGTGCAGACAATACTGAACTAGATGGACTAATGGTCTGACTCGGTATCAGGCATCCACCTATGTTATTGTGTTTTATATGGAGATATTATGGCATTAGAACACATTGCTGATATGTCAATAATAATAATAATAATAATAATAATAATAATAATAATACTTTTGTATTTATACCCCATCCATCTGGTTGGGTTGTTAATTTCCTTGGCATCTGATGGGAGGGCGTTTCACAGGGCTGTCACCACTACCGAGAAGGCCCTCTCCCTGGTTCCCTGTAACCTCACTTCTCACAGTGAGGGAACTGCCAGAAGGCCCTTGGCACTGGACCTCAGTGTCCGGGCAGAACAATGGAGGTGGAGATGCACCTTCAGGTATTCTGGGCTGAGGCTGTTTAGAGCTTTACTGGTCAGCACCAAGTCTTTGAATTGTGCTCAGAAATGTTTACATTCCCCCCTCCCCGCCCCAGCATTCTTAACCACTTTGAACATGGTTAACAAAACAGGATGAAGATCAGATGACACTATTAAAAAACAAAATCCTAAGAATATAAGACAAGCCTGCTGGATCAGATCAGTATCCCATCTGCTCCAGCATCCTGTTCTCACAGGGCTGACCAGATGCCTCTGGAACCCTGCAAGCTGGAAGTGAGCACAAGAGCACTGTGCCCACCTGTGATTTCCAGCCTCTGACAGTAGAGCTAGTCCATAACCCTCCTCTCAAAATCTGTATTCAAAGAGATGTATGCTCATATATACCGTATTTTTTGCTCTATAAGACTCACCTTTTCCCTCCTAAAAAGTAAGGGGAAATGTGTGTGCGTCTTATGGAGCAAATTGCAGGCTGTGTAGCTATCACAGAAGCCAGAACAGCAAGAGGGATCACTTCTTTCACTGCGCAGCGATCCCTCTTGCTGTTCTGGCTTCTGAGATTCAGAATATTTTTCGTCTTCTTTTCCTCCTCCAAAAACTAGGTGCATCTTGTGGTCTGGTGCGTCTTATAGAGCGAAAAATGTGGTATTTAAATGTGCATACATTACATAAAATGTGTACTTAGAGAGCCATCCTAACCCTTGGTTGTGTGTTGCTGGAGGAGGTTAGGCTATGTCAGAGGTCCACTGGCCTTTACCAGTCAAGCCAGGGGGAGACTATCACTATGAAGGTTTCCACTGCAGCCATGAAAAGCATGGCAGGTGGAACACTGAAGCTGGCTGTGTACCTGTGGGCAATTGCCAGCCAGGTTAGGGCCCCGAAAGAGGTATTTGGGGGATGGGGCAGTGGGAGTTGAGCTCCCCATGGATCGATTGGATCCTGAACATCTCAAACCCTTGAAAAGCACTTGGTTTTGGCTCCCTCAGCAGCACCAGCCTGGAGTTGGCACAGCATTTTTTTTAAAAAATAGTAATAACAAACATTTCCATTATGCACGTTGCAGATCTTGGAGTGTGCAGGTCAATCCATTGTTCTGTCTTGCTGCGTCCTGCTCACCCGCTGTTCCCTGGCTGGAGTCTACATCACTCTGCCTCATGTGTATTTTATCTCAAAACAGGCATTGTGTATTTTCTGTGCATTCCAGCTTCCAACACACAAATAACCCCGTGCCTAGCTAAGTTCTGATCTGCCCCTTAGTCCTAGAGATGTGGATCAGATTGTTTCATATAGGAATTAATAACAACAGCAGAAACCTGTGTTCTTCAGGCATCCCTTAAAAAAACATATCCACCTATTATCAAGAGTCTAGGATGAATAGCTTAAAAAAACACATATATTTAAACGGACTCTCTGCTTGTATTAGCTCTCTTTGATTTAATGAATGAGGTGCTGCAGTTTAAGGCTTTTAGGGCATGAGCTCTGCTCCCCCCATTAAATGCTGGCTCTTTGCAAATGCTATTTGCACCACTGAAGTAGGTCACACTTGACATTGCTTGTTGTGCTCCTCACCTCCTCATTCATCTTCATCCGTTCTATTATGTCTTGTTTCAATAGCCTGCTATTATCTGCGTTGTTCCTGCTCTCTCTGCTGTTCCCTTGCTTATGGCTACACTTAAACCCAGCATTTTCCCGTGGGTTTGACAGACTTGCGAGGAGAAAGGGGAATCAGTGCTGTCACAAAGTGCTTGTAGTGGAAGGAAGGTGCCCATCAGAACAGGAGCGTTGTCCCTCAAAGGCGAGTACCTTTAGGCAATACCAAACTCGGATCGTTCACCTCTGAACAGCCAACATCTTTAAGAAAACCCAAGCAGAGAGGCAACTCCACTGCTGTGTGAATTAGAGCTTTAATAAAGGCCTGTGTCATCCTTCCAGAACACTTGGGTTTGGTTCACGCACACAACAAGCTATGAAATGACCACCATGTTCAGCGGTCTCTGGGTGATTGTAGCAGCATCTGTTCGAATCAATTGTTACAGAAAAATGCAGGGAGTGCCTTTCCTAGCCTCCCAAGCACCAACTACCTACCTACTGCTGCTTGCTCAATACCCTGGCGTCTGGCCTGCATGTCTCCTAATTGGAGAAGGATGAGCAAAGAGGATCTCGGCCCCAGTGACAAAGTGTCAAGATCAGAAGTGAGTTAGACAGCTATGTGAGGGATGCAGAAGGGCCAGGACAGACTACACTCCCTGTCCACCAAAACAACAATAAAAATAATGCAGGTAGAGAGCCAGAAGGGGTACAGAAGCTGTGCTTTGTAGGACTACCTGACCATTCTCACGAGGAAGGTAGCTGAACAGGAGAAGATGAGAGAGCCAGAGAAGTTGCTGGATGAGCCTTAGAGGGAATGTGATGTCCCAGCATGACAACTTCCAAGCTGCAATGGAAGAAGGGGGGCTCGGGGAATGAGAGGGAAACGATCCCTTAGAAGGGACCCATCTCTTGGGGGACAAACACCAACATCTTGCACCAAGGAAATTCCACTAGGGGACTGGGGGCAATCTGATCACCAGGAACATAAATACACGGTTTTGGGATGGGTACGCAGACCACATGGTGACTTGGTGTAAAGGTTGCAGATGCAAAGTGTCCTGCCTGAGAAAGAGTCAATGGTTGTCAGGCACTATTCTGCTCCCTTCAGTCAGCATGCTCCCTCTCAGTTAATGGATGGAGGGAATGTATCAGCTCTAGGTCATTGAGAATGCTCATCAGCCTAGTTCTTATCAAGAGCACATATACAAATGGCAGCCTACATCTTGATGCTTAAGTCAATGCATACCTTCCTATGCACATTTATTGTGGCTGATTTTGAACGTGTAATTAATGCATGTCTCCTCGGAAGGAAGTTCAGTGAGGCTTAGGTTGCTTTCACATAGCAGTTTATTCCGTTTCCCCAGTTGTTAATTTCTGCATTTCTGTTAGAGCTTTCACATGATGTAAAAGCCATTTCTGGAAATCTAGCAGAATCTAGTGCAACTTTGGCGCTCATTTCCATGTTAATTGCTTCCATTTGCAATCCCATTAACCCAGAAAATTGCAAGAGTGAAGTGACAAAATTTGGGGCAGTGTACCAGCATACAGTTCTTCCCTGCCGTTTTCATGGGGCAGGAGGTGGGATAAGGACACAAATGTGGACAGGGTTTGGGAGTAACACATCAAAAAGCCACAGTATCATAAAACAACAGGTACTGTCATGTGAAAGAAACATTATAAAGGTGAGGTGGAAATGCTACCATTATAAACCAGAAGACAAACACACTATTCCTTATGTCTGAATGCATCCTTATTCTCAATTAAGCGGGTGTATTTTGTGGCCTAAATTGAATTCCTCTTCTGTCTTCAGGAAGCTACATAATCATCACCTGTGCTCTTGTAGCATAGGAAAATGGGACCTGACACATGCACCACAAAATAGTTTCTGGATCCACACTTTCCTCC